TCGGCTAGTGGAGGCATTCTTCACACTTTGCAAAAACTTCAAGCGACCCATCTCTACCTCTCTCTCGCACTTGAGCTGAATATCGGTATTGGGAACTTTGCGTCGAAATGCCTGGGCGTCCTCGATCGTTTTGAAACCAAGGAAACTGAGAATGGGATAATAAACTGAAAATCCACACCAAGACGAATCATAAAAAGAATGAATAAATGATAATAGAAACAATTCATGTCAAAACCGATAACAAAAACCCGAGTTTACCAGGGGGGAACGTTCTGAACGGGCGAGTAGCTGTGAGCTCCGCCTTAGCTAGCTCCGTCTTCTTCAATAACTTCTGCCAACTGCGAACGAAGAAGTCGAGTTTCGCAAGATCCTTGAGTCTCTCTTTGAATTCAGCAGTGAGTTTCGGTTCCTTCTTCCTCCGGACTACAAAGACCAAAAGTTCCGACCTGTTAGCGAAAGAAAAAGACCAACAGTCAGGAGGTGGTGAAGTGGGATACCAAAGAAAATCTTACCATAAGAAGAAACAGCCCGGTTTGGGACGGTCATCCCATCGATCTTCGACTCCAAACGGAAGTCGGCTGACTCCCAATCTCCGCCAACCCAGAACCATTCTTCCTGGAAACCGTGTAAAGTATCGGGAATCCTGGTGATTAACTGGCCGACTTTCAGTTCCCCCTGTGCTTTGGCAGAGCAGAAGAAACAGCCGGTGAGTGGGACACCATCCCGCTCTCGGCTTCGCTTAAAAAAGAAAATGCTCCGAAACTCGTCGATACAGGGAAACGACAACTTTTTCTGCGTGCAGAGGACCAAAAGGCCGAGGATTTTCTTCCAACTGTTCGGCGTGATCTGGCTAATACCGATCCCCCAATCTCAGAGATAGGGGGAGGAGAATGGATCCTGATACTCTCCGCAAATACCCCAACGCAGCCGGGAGGAGGAGAATGGATCCTCTCCCCAGGGTATGGGGCAAACATCTTCACCGTAGGAGGAATACGAGCCGACTTCCTTAGTAACACCACATCGGCTTTGGTCATTGAACTAGGTTCACCAGGGAAAATCGCATCAGTGTCGGCCCAGCGGCGGGGAGGTCGATTCCAATAGCCTTCGCGAATGGGGAGATCCTTCTCGACCTCGGCGTCGCCTTCATGGTTGTTCCTCTTAAGAACCAAACGCTCGGCCAATACCGGGTCCCAACGGTAGTACCCTAATGCCAACTCCACATCTACCTCCTCGTCGGAGGAAGATTCACGTGCCACCTCGTCGGAAATTTTCCGACTACTACTATCAACCTCTCGCTCCGTCATTGTTTGGGCGACGAATAGAGCTTTAAAGAAAGGTGAGAAGAAAAAGTACAAGGACAGAAAAATAAAGATAGATTGGAGAACTCACCACGAACAGACGACAAAGTTAGGGACGTCGGGAACCAGAGATCAAAAGAACGAATGACAGTAGGAGTGAAAATAATGAATGCGGGATTCAGAGCGAAAGATTGTGTGATTCAAAAAATTGAAGAAGAGAGAGTATTTATATTCGAGCAATATGACCGTTATGAAGAAACTGACGCTCGTGAACCGTCACCTTTAAAGATAAGGACGTTTCGTGCTATCCATACGGTTACACGCAGACGAACAGGAATTTGCCATGTAAGAATGCCGTCAGAGATCGTGGGAACATGCAATGAAGAGACGTAACTGCTTAAAATCGAAGGAATCGAGCGCGTCGCTTCGTGTCGTCAAGCGCCGTATTGGAGAAGTTGCGAACCTCAAGTAAGAAAAAGTCACATTTATTGGCTAAGTGTTAGAAGTCGGCTGGAGTCCCAAAGATGGAGATGCCAACAAAGAACGGAAAATGACAATAAGGCGGACCAAAGTACATGTCCCCCTCAATGTCAGGGGCCTCAATGTTGACATAAAAATCCTCTCGGACGAACGACACGTGGATAAAAGGAAGGATAAGGGATCGAGCCGAGGAGAGCAAAGAGAAGGCTCCCCGAGCTGTACAAGCCGACCTCGGAGGACCGACTACATCAGGATGCCGACCTCGCAGTAAAGACGACTCAAATACGGGTTGATGTCGGTACCGACAGGCAGAATTAAATGCCCGTCCATCAGATGTCTGGGAGCCACGTGAGGGCATCATTGCTAAGGGGTCCCACTTGCTAGAAAAAGCCTGCGCCCTGTCACACTACATTAAATGCCGCCGCATCTCCTCAAAAGACGAGCCCACAGTTGCTATAAATAGCAGCATTAAACGCGATACGAGGATCTTTTCCCGACACATTCAATTCTTTATTAATCACCTCGGTTCACCGCCCATTTCAACGTTATTGTACCGCTGAAAACCCGACTTCAAGTCCGAACTACCGACTTGAACCCGTTATAAAATATCCCACGTTTAATAAATAAAATCGCTTCATTTCCGCATTAATCTCAAAGTTTAACACTAAAAAAGGTTGATCAAATCCGATTATCAACATCTATCAACTTTATTAAAAAACATATTTTATGTAAATATTATTATATCAATAATTATTACATGATTACTCAAACCGAATTAAAAAATATTAATAATATATAATTACAATTGTATCAATTTATCTTAAGTTATATATAAAATTTTACTGCATTTTGTTTGAATGAATAACATTTTAATATTATTTTATAATCTGTGTACTTTCTCCATCATGAGATCATTCATTTATTTTAGGGTAAATAATAATTTGTAACTTGTAATATACGCGAATTTGGGGTTTACAATCTAAAGAATTTTTTGTACTAAATTGCAACCTTTAATACACTATATCGCAACCTCGGGCCATCAGCGGTCCATTTTCACTGGTAAAGCGAGCGTGCTACACCCACGTACCAAATTTGAGGACAAAAATGTCATTTCAGCTCTCTTTTTCCTTCCTCTTTCATCATCTTTCTCTCACACACTCTCGCACACACAGTCAACACAAAAGTCGAATTCCACAGCGAGATA